TATACGTGTTTCGTGGCGATAGGAGAGTGTTCGCTTGGCTTTCTCTACTTCTCGGCGTAGTTTCTGTAGAGCACGATTATCTTTTCTGTAAAGCGAACCAATAGTGTTAGAACAAATGGAGATCCAATATTGTTATTGAAAAGATGTGGTTTATAATTAAAGTCTACTAAATTAAAATAACGTCTTTGCTTATACGTAATATTTATTCATGTTACTGTGTATACATGTATGTGTAATGGTTAGGTTGTCCAAAACTCATCTTCAATTAAAGACTAAGTAGAAATTAAGACATATAACTAACAGTGATTAGGTACAAACCTTAGATCCACGCCAGTGTTTTTCTTGTGTTTCTTGATCAGGAATTCCATGACACGTTGGTCGAAGTCTTCGCCTCCCAGATGGTTATCTCCACTAGTGGCAACGACTTCGAACACTCCCTGGTCAATTGTCAAGAGCGACACATCGAACGTCCCTCCTCCCAAATCAAAAACCAAGACAGACTTTTCTCCTCCCTTTTTATTGAGTCCATAGGCAATGGCAGCGGCAGTTCTAATGAGACAAAAGAGTGTTTCAATTGTTTATAGATCCCAATTAAAGAAAAACAAACAATTTCAAACAAAGCGTACAATTGAAAGACACATGCAGTTAAATCTAAATAGAAATGTGAGAAAATCTATTTTAAGAATATGAAGATGTGATCGCTGTTCGCAAATTTCGTAAAACCTCTACACATGTGTCTACTAAAAATAGAACTTACGGTTCATTGATGATTCGGAGCACCTCTAGACCTGCAATCGTCCCAGCATCCTTTGTTGCCTGACGTTGAGCGTCGTTGAAATAAGCAGGAACTGTAATAACAGCCCGGGTGACGTTTTGTTTGAGGTACCCTTCAGCGATTTCCTTCATTTTGCTCAACACCATGGCGGAAATTTCCTCTGGAGCAAACACTCTCTCCTGCTCGCCGACAAGTACCTTGATGTGTGGTTTGTTGTGTTTGTTTACGATGCTAAAGGGATAATACTGTACATCTTTCTGCACCGTGGGGTCGTCCCATTCTCGCCCAATCAGTCTTTTGACGTCAAATATCGTATTCTTGGGGTTTGACGTCAGTTGATTTTTCGCAGCGTCACCTATCAACCTTTCGCCGTCAGCGTTGAAGGCAACGTAAGATGGAGTGATACGATTTCCTTGCTCGTTTGGAAGGATTTCAACATGTCCATCTTTAAATATTCCAACACTGAAAAATACATTGTTATAATTACATTAAAGCATTGATTCGTCATTGGTGGAAGCAATTTAAAATATTAACTATTATAATAGGTTATAATCATGGTTAACGTCAATTTCAGTAAATAATAGCCAACAATAATAATTATAGTTTCATATCATAGTTAACAACAAAAAACAATTTTTGTGAAGGTTATTTTATGATTTTGTGAGATTTTAAGTTTGTTTACCATGAGTAAGTGGTCCCCAGATCTATTCCTATCACGGGATCTGTCCTGTCGGCCGTAGTTGACGTGGAAGCCACCAGGGATAGCAGCGTCAATGTTAAGATTGCGCTCACCATCATTTTCCTTCCTTGATTGTAATTCTTCATGAATGATGATTCTGATATTGTGATTTTTCTCCAATATGTAATTTTTATTTTCTTTCCTTTTGGTTATTTCTTCTTTGGGTAAATGCTGATAAAGGAAATTGAATTAATAATAAAATATAGTTTGAAGAAACGTTAACTTAATTAAAGAACATAAATTAATTAAAAGAATGTAACATTCTTACAGCGCCCAAAAAGGGTACACCTACAGGCAGGGCAACATATCAGACATATTCAAAAAATTTTGATATTATTTATGGTGATTTTTTAACAAATTTAAGTGTACATATTTGAGTTAAAAATTAATTAATAAAGTTGAACAAATAAATTAAAGACAGTTTTTTAAGAAAAAAAATGCAATTGATAACAAAGTAAAGAATTAACAATAAGAATAGAAAAAATTAATTTACATCGAATTAAAAAAAAAAGAGTTATATCTATGATAAAGTAATATTTACTCTCTTACAAAATTTATCAGCATCCTTTAATCTTACCTTTTCTGTAGTAGATCTGGATCTATTTCGATTTTTAAAAACTTATTAATTATTCTTTGTGGCAGTTGGGGTTGAATATAATGTTGGCAACCCAGATTTAAGAGTATTTATACTACTTTTATTTCATGTGTTGAAATTTGATTGGTTTTGATAAATACTTTTGCGTTTCATGCTATAATATTTCATCATCTGTTTGAAGTCAACGTGTACAAACGTAAAAACCCCTGTTTATTTTTAGAATGTAAATAAAAGAACGATAATTCAGAAGAATTTGCGATGTTAATAAAGTCAAGTGTTATGGAATGTTCAATTATTAAACTTAAATATTTATATAATATTTAATTTAAAAAAAATCTAGTTTTTAAAAATCAAAGAAAAAAGGAAAAGAATTCTTCGAAAAGTTGATTTATTACTTTTAGTTTTCCGGAATTTTCTACGGAGTTGGTTCTAGTCAGTAACTTCGAGAAAGCGGGAACAACGAAGTAAACAGTTATGGAAAACGATGATAAAAACAAAAAAAATACGTAAATATTAGTATATTCTAGATTGTTGTTTGCCATGGAAATTGACGAAGATAAATCAGGTGATCAATGCAAAGAATTGAAAGGTAAAGTGGACATCTGTATTAGGTCCTATACTATAGATTTTACAAAAAAAAGAAAGTACAGAGTATGATGTAACCGACAGTGTACAGGTGTAATATCTACATTCTGCATGTTTTGATAGTGATGAAAAGAGAAAAAAAACAACATTTTAATATAAAATACATTATTCATTTTCAAAAGAAATAAAAGGTTTAAATGTGTGTGTATTATCTATTGTCTCTTATTATTTCTTATTATCAATAAATAACTTGTGTAGTGAATATGATGGTGAGCTATGATCAGGAGTACAATCTCTTGATTTAGCTATATAGCTTTAAATAGCTATATAGCTTTTTTAAGCTATTCAAAATAGCTTCATTTAGCTATTTATATACAAAGGTGTTTATTTTCACAAAAAACATTTTTGCTGAAAAAATGTATTATAAATATCTAAATAAAGCTATTTTGACTCTTCATAAATGTAAGGCTATTTAAAGCTATATAGCTAAATCAAGAAATTGTACTGACCTGTTAAAATTGTGTAAAAATGGTTTGACTAGCTTTGCAGCTTTTGAATACTTTCTATTGAATTTTCACTGGAACATCATCGGAATGATTTAATTGACATTTTACTTCATGAAGACCAGAACGACCATTTTTCTGTAACAGTAAAGTAAGTAATCAGAATTAAATTTTGTATAAATCAAAGGGAAAGCCAGTTATAATTCAATGCTTTCATTGACAAATCATGCCCTCTTTGCTCTGTTCAATGTATTGTAATAATATGATTTATGTATCTTTAACTTCATGAAGAGGTATACAGACAATTTATTGCCAAACTAGTACTATTAGATACTGTGTAAAAACTGAATAACAATGTTTTCCCTTTATATCAAAGTAAAGAGAGATCAGTTGTAACAGGCTAGGGGCTGAGGTTTATGAACAGAATCTCTGTGGACCTTGCAACAAATTTTTATTTTGAAGCAGCATTTTTGCCAGTTAAAGCGTTCAATAATTTTTTTCTACCCATCGAGAATTGCTCTGGTATTCAATTGGGAAAAATAGTGTCAAAATTGAACAAACAGAAATTTTCTATCATGTCAACATATGAAATATATTTTGCATTTATTCTAACCTCAATACCTACCGTAAATCTGGAAATTTTTGTTGTACATAAATTTTTTTAAATTTGCAGTGCATTGCATTCGAATATTCACTGGAAAATAAATCACCAATGAAAATGTAAACAAAGCAGTGGTAGAAATTTTAAACGTAAAAATTAATCGACAGCATTTTTCTATAACGGTAAAAAAAAAAATTAGCCAAATTAAATTTTGTATAAATTAATGCTTGTAATTTTTTAGTGCTTTGACACTGTTTGAGAACAACATGATGTTTGTCCTCTCTACTATGTTCAACATAGTTAGAATGATTTAACTGTGTCTAGGAACAAGCCTTCGGTCTGTAGGACAATATTATTCAATGATAGAAAATTTTATTTATGTGATTTTCTAAATTTTTAAAAAATAAATACATGCATCTTTAACTTTAAATGTATCAGAGGTATATAAATTTATAGCCAAATTTTGTAATTAATATTACTTATTTTTGTTTAAACTGAATAAAACATTATAACTGATAATGTACTATATAGCAATTTTTCTTCTACCCATTTTTGGAATGGGCTAGTACCAAGGTAGCCCATTGGGCTAGTCAAAATTTTAACTACACACGCAATACATGAAAAGCACAATTTTTTGTTTTTGGCAACAAACCTGAAAATTTTTCTGAATTAATGCTTCAATAACTTTTTATCTGTTTTAACACTGTTTTCAGAACAACATGATTTTTGTGACCGAATTTCCTCTATTCTTTCGTTAATGGTAAATACATGCAGATATCTCAATAAATTATATATGATCACTCAATCAACTGAAAGATAAGTGTTTTATGACTCACATAAAATATATTTATAGTGTATTTAATGATTTAAGATGAAACCAAAATGAATTAAATTTCATTCTAAATGAGCTAGTGAAATGTTCAGAAAAAGGGAAGATGATTTATTTAAATTCATTTGAATCTTCTTTCATTTTAATTTATACAAGATTTAATTTCATAGTGAGAATTAAACTTTAATTTTAAAAAGAATGACCTCAGTATTGTTTTTCAACAATTAATTTTTTTTATTAGTTTTTCATTTTATTTTTGCACTTTACTTGGGCTAGTAACTTTTCACTTGGGGCTAGTAACTTTACATCCTTTTGCATGAATATCATGAAACATACATTTATCTAAATGATAAATATGCTACATACAGGGTGTGAAGAAAAATATCCATGCTCGAGTGATGTCACTTCCTGTTTGTCCAGAGCTACACAGAACCACACTACCAAGGGCAGGGGATGTTGGGAACTTTCTCGCTATCACAGGTTTTGATGAAATATTACAAATGAATTTTTAAAACATACAGTCATTAAAGGGTCACATTTTCTATTTTTGTGTTAATTAGGATCTTAAATTTTTTCCTCAATTTATTAGGAACAGTGATAAGAACAACGGTTATGAAAATGTTAGAGTACGAGAGAGACTTCCTGTGTACAAAGTGCAGAAATGTGTGCACTGTGCAAGTAAGTTAAAACCCTCCTCCCCTTCTTTATATTTTGTTTGTATATGTGTTTTATATTGTATTTGGTCTGTAAAGATAATTTTTCCCTTTCTTACAAAAGGCAGATTTAGAGCAGTTTTTCAATCTTGCCAAACCCAGCAAATGTTCCAATGAGACATGTAACTCCTTCAACTTCACGTCATTGTCAGACACAGGTAAAAAATGAAATTCTGGAGAATTAAAGAATATTTTTTGGAAGAGAAAGGGCAGTTTGTTTCTTTGAGGAAAGAGGGGAGGTATTAAATATCAAGTATTATGCTTTGAAGATAAATTGTGATCTCCATGGAATTAGGGCATATTGCTCTTGCATATCCTGAGCTCACTGAAAGATTGGAATTTAAAAAAAAATTTCTAACAGGTGGTCAGCCACAAAAATGTCGGAACTATCAGGAGATCAAGATCCAGGAACAAGTCCAGCGTTTGGCGGTGGGGACCATCCCGAGGTCAATGTGGGTCATCGTGCTGGACGATCTGGTGGACGCATGTAAAGCTGGGGATGATGTCATCGTCTGGTAGGTGGCAGGTCATAAAGATTTAATACCAAAAGTATGAGAATGAGATGGATGTAGAATCACATTGGTGGTATACTGAAATGGAACAAATGACTTTAATTCATTTGAGTGAGGTGGGTGAATCTGTTACATTTCATTGGAGTGATGAGGTATTTGTTCTTTCAGAAATATTTAAAAAATGTTCAAAAAAAGTTCAACATATCACAGAGATGACTAAAATCAAATATCCAGAGAAAGTTTCTTTCAAATCATAATTACTGGAAATACATGTAATTATAAAATTTATACACAGCACCAAAAGCTTTCAAGCAATCATCCCTCTATTTCAATTTTAGTGGCACAGTGAGAAGAAGATGGAGACCTTCATCCGTTGACTCTAGATGTGACATTGAAATGGTTCTAGAGGCCAACCACATACTGGTTACTAATGAACAGAGGAACACAGTGCTGGTCACCCAGGAATTGGTAGGTCAAAGGTCATCTCTTTTGACCATGATTCCTTTAATGCCAATCTACATAACCTGATAAACATAAAAAAGCAATGTATCAAAACAATATCCAGTATACATTAAAACTCGGTTATAACGAAGTTGCTGGGACTTATGAAATTACTTAGCTTTATCCTTAATTCATTATAACCGTATAAGACATTCATTAAATTTATACAGCTGGGAATCCAAGATGACCTAGCAATATCTGTGTTCGTACTAAACAAGTTTTACTGTAGTATTCAATAAGGTAATCAATTTTTACAGATTATGTCCAGTTTAATTTTCATGAGTGCAATCAGATTTTACTAAGGATTTTACTTTTATGGCGTCGAGCTTGCTCGATCGTCATCTAGCGATCAGTCAGGTTTACGTGACCGAATGTGCCAGTGGTTGCATCCGCAATAAAAAATAGCAACAGCTCTAAACCAATTTGTTTTAAAACGTTAACAATGAATAATAGCTTGAATATAAAATTAAATCAATTGTATCTTCAATTAATTCTACTACAAACAACGATATTATGTTTAATTTTTATGCAAGAAAATCGTTATGGTTGTTGCGGATGAATTTCTACAGAGAGGTGCGTTGAATGACATGAATCACATTTTGGAACCGATTACTGTAAACAAATAATCTTAAAGACGGTGAAATAATTACAAAATAAACATGAATACAACAAGACTATAAAGATTGAATTTTTTAATCTTAGCTTTACTTTTACTATCTTCAATCCAATTTTATCCAAACAACCGATGATATTGACCAGTAATGCCAGTATTACTGTACTTATCCATTTCCTCCATTTGTTTACCGCGCCGTATCGTAAGTCGATCATACTTGTAACAGTAGAGTCATGGTTGTAGTTTAGATGCAATCACTATACAACAGAACAACGTTCTGACAATGGCAATTAATTAGAATAATTAAATTATGAAACTCTTCGTAGGTCTTCGATTGACTGAAAAGAAATTAGATTGATATTGAGCATGAACATTTCTGACGATGTTTGGTCAATTCGAACCCTGCCTCATTCGGACCAGGACATAAGGCGCTATTCTATGTTTGTGTTAAGACTATTTTTTAATTTCATTATTATGTTACCGGGGTCACTCACTTGACCTATCTGCAGATCTTTTGAAATTGTTTTTCTTGTGTGACGCCATTGAAGCCTTTCAGGCTTTTGATTTATTAATTTCGGTTGTAGAAATCTGAGATAATAAAGTTTTGGGAGGACAACCGACTTGACCCCCTGACCGCCCGGAACCAGATTCTGTCCAGTCTCTGTCCCCAGGTGTACGGACTGTATGTGGTCAAACTAGCTGTGGCCCTCGTCCTAGCAGGAGGGGTCCAGGTACGATATCTAGGTCATTCAAAATAATGTGAGTCATTATATGTGATCAAATATGAATTGAAATAGTATAAAATAATGAAGATGTTGTACAATGAATAAAGTGACTGACTTTTTATGCAGAATTCTCAATATGAAGTCAGAATTGTCAAAATTTATCTTGTTCATTGACACCAATCATCAATTTGTGAATTGACCCCATTCATCAATTTGGTTAATAATTTGTTCAGCGTATTGATGATTCTGGAACAAGGGTGCGAGGAGAAATCCACATGCTGATGGTGGGAGATCCAGGTAAAGGGATACATTAAGTTTGTACATCTTCTAACATTCAAAAAATTACAGGTGAGAATTTAAAATATCAAGAACTAAGAAGAAAGTATTAAAGATATAATTTTGTGGGATCATGACTCCTCTAGTTAATTGTTCAGTCTAAAATGCAAAAAATACCTGCCAACAAAGTGGGGAAATTTTATGCATAAGCAAAGAAGGACTTTGATTAATATACAAATAATTTTCACAAGTAACAAATTTCAGGTACTGGAAAATCTCAATTTTTGAAATACGCTGCCAAGATAACCCCAAGATCTGTGTTGACAACTGGAATAGGAAGTACCAGTGCAGGGTTAACTGTCACTGCTGTCAAGGTTAGAAGGCAATTTATTGATAAATCGTAAATCAAAACATGAAATAGGACAATTGTATTCTGTGAAAGTCTACATATTTTACATGTAGGATTTTCATTATAAGCTTTAATTTGTAAATATGAAATCTATTATACCCAACAGGACAGTGGGGAGTGGCAGTTAGAGGCAGGTGCTCTAGTGCTGGCAGATGGGGGACTGTGTTGTATTGATGAATTCAACAGCATCCGGGAACATGACAAGGCTAGCATACATGAAGCAATGGAACAGCAGACCATCAGTGTAGCCAAGGTAAAACTTGGAGAATGCACAAATATAAGTTGTAAAAAAATGTCTCATGGAATTCTTTTCCTTATAAAAGTTTGTTTTCTTCAGAAATTTAAATGTTTCACAAATAATTGAAAATTTAGCATGAGCATTTTGAATGTCATTGCTATTAAATTCTTCATTTGTGAAAAAAGAAACATGAACATGTATGAATAGTAATTTAAGTATATGTCAAAGTCCATTTATGTATTCAGTAGAAAATGCATGCCACATGACTCAAGAACATGAATAATATTTATAGGCTGGTATGGTTTGTAAACTGGACACGAGGACAACTATTTTAGCAGCCACCAATCCTAAAGGCCAATATGATCCAGATCAGGTAGAAATAAACTTCTATTACTTAATTCATTCTTACGTCATTTCTACTTTCTACATTTCTACATTGCAGTTTGTCATAAAAATGTCATTAAGTTGTAATGAAATGAATCTACTTACAGAGCCTGAGTGTAAACATTGCCCTGGCCAGTCCACTGCTGAGCAGATTTGACCTTGTCCTGGTGCTGCTGGACTCGCAGAACGAAGACTGGGACAGGGTGGTGTCCAGCTTCATCCTAGAAAATAAAGACCCATTAGGTTTGTTCTAGAAAATAAAGACCCATTAGGTTTGTTACTAGTGAATTTTGATGACTGTGAAAAAAATATATGGAATGTTTATGAATATCAGTGTGAAAACAATAAATGGAAAAGCGCATTGTTGATAAGAAATTGAAGCAAAATTGCATGAAGATACTCTTAAAATGTGTAGATATGATTTCAGTGAATTAATTTTTATTTCATTATAGGAGAGATTGACCCAAAGACTATTTGGAGCATGGAAAAAGTGCAGGCTTACCTCTCTCTCATAAAAACAATTGATCCTCAACTCACATCAGATGCTACTAGGTATCAAAAAACTACATGAAATGAGAGTCAACTTTCATACATGAATTGTTCACATAACTTTCAGTTAATATTCAAGTATTTCAATATCCTTGAAAGTGCTTTTCTAAGGTTATTTCTAAATTTCAATTTAATACTTGTGGGGCTGGAAATTTTTATATTTTTTAAATAAATTGCATTTATTCATAAACACCCACCCTATTTATTGTGTAAGTAAATGCTGTAAATCAGTTTGTATAGATTGTTACTTTCAATAAATAATATCTGGTGAAACTGACACATTATCATAAATATTGATTTAGACAGAGTTGACAGGCAGAGCAATTTAAGATTTTGATTCCTTTTTCAGAGTCCTTGGCCAATATTACAAAGCACAAAGATTAGCAGATGACCGTAATGCAGCAAGAACAACTATGCGTTTACTACAAAGCATGATTCGACTCTCACAAGGTAACTTGAATGAAGATGTAAATGTATCCCTGTGTCCCATAATAGTAATTGTAATAAACTACATTCAATGCCAACTCCTTAATGTAAATCCTGGCAATTCAGAAGCTCTCACTGAAGAAATTTGATTGTTAAATATGCATTAAAGATCCTAAATGTTTTACTTACAACAGCTCATGCTAGGTTGATGTTTAGAGATGAAGTTACAGTGGAAGATGCTGTTGTTGCTGTCACACTGATGGAATCTACCATGCAGGTATCCATGTAAACTTGTACTCTTCAATTTTCATTTAAATTTCATGATGCTATATTTTTATTCCATGTATAAGTTGTTTATGAGAGGAATTTGTATCCATGGAGATGTTTTTTTTTGAATGATATTAACTTTTTCAGGGGGCTGCACTGCTAGGAGGTGTCAATGCACTGCATACAGCATTTCCCGAGAGTGCCCTAGAAGAATACAAAGTTCAAGGTAAAATACAAAAAAGGAAATATTTTGAACATCATAAAATCCTATCATATGGAAAATATAGAAATTTTTTCTTCACTTACATTCTGATTACAAGTTATAACAAAATCATATCATTTGAACTTATTTGAGCATATATAAATACTAATAAAACATATCTTTTGGTCTTTCAGCTGACCTTGTTCTTAACAGGTTAGAACTACAAGATCTTTTACAACAGGAATGTGAGAGATTGGCAGCTCTTGAGGCAGCAAAAACCACAGAAATTCAAAATAAAGTTGTGCCTGAAGATACAAATACGTCCACTGTTTGTAGGAATCCAAGGATAGAGCAAAACAAACAAAATTCTGAACCAGAAGAGACACATTCAACAAAACCGGCTCAGGAAGAAAATGATGGACAAGTGTTAAATGCTGATAAAGATCTAGCCTGCAATAAAGGGGAGGAGAATATCTGTGATAGATCACTACAGGACTTGTTTAATGTCAGCACAGCAGACGGTGATATTTCTCTAGCAGCAGAGAATCACCCAATGACCTCGACCCAGATACCATCTGCTGGTTCAGGCGGTGGCACATGTCAGCCATTTGATGTGTCAGAGGTAGGACATCCATTGACAAATATGATTTCAACAATAAATGTTTCCCCATCCAGTATGAGTGTCTCTGCCAAAGCAACAGAGGTAACAGAAAATGAAGACAAAGATGAAAAGAATTTTGGTAAAGATCTTGAGGGAAACGGTGGTAAAAGTGAAAAACAAGCTGGTAAACTTGTGTATAGTAAGGCAAAAGATCAAAACTTATTGATAAGAAAACAGAAGAATAAAAATTTGATAAGGAAACTGAAACAGAAAGTTGATGAACAGAAAGACTGTGCCTTGAATGAGAACTCTCCACATGATGATAGCAAGAAAGAAAATTCTCCACTTGATAGTAGTAAGGATATAAATGCAGATTTAGACTTGAACATAGAAGATGTAACACAGATTCCACAACAGAAAAATGGAAAGACTAGAACTTCTAAATCAAGTGCAGATAAATGTTCCCCTCAAACGCCAACAGAATCAGTTCAAAGGAAGAAAATCTCTCCATCAACATTAACAAAACTCAAGAAATTCCAGAAAGAATCGGACACAGAATGTGTAGATTCTGACAGAAGCTTATCATTTAGTGAAAGTGGTATTCAACCATTTAGTAAAAGTGTTGTGGAAAGCGACGTCTCTAATATACTTTCTCAAAGTTACGATGAAAAATTACGACCACAATCAAACATTTTCAAAGTAGAACAAAGGAATACAGTAACAAATGAAAAGAATTCAACAGACATTCCAAAATCATCACAAAATTGTGATGGAAAAAGTATGTTGAGTGGTCCATCATGGCTAACCAAAGTGAGTTCATTCAAGTCCTCAATTTTTAAGCTTGACAGTGAGGATACTGAGGATTTAGATGATCTGAACCTTGAATTCGATTTTAATCCATCAAAGAGAGTCAAAATAGGTTGAACAAATAAATTATTACAGCATTTAAAATTATATTCAGTTGTCTGACTTGTTCTACTTGCTGAAAACATTGCTCTGAAGTAATTTCTTTGTTCTTGCAGTTTAAAAATTTACCTGTGGCAGTCAGTTGTTAGTGAGTACCGGTATTCTGAAATTTGTTGTTATATCAGATTGTCTAAGCATTGATATTCTTCAAAAATTGAACTTTTATTGAACAGAAGATATGAAAAAGAAATTTTACAATCAGTGATTGAAGTTTACAGCTATAATGTGCAACATTCATTTTAAAACAAGAATATTTTGATTTGATCATTTAGAATTTTGAAAATGAATATTTAAAGTTCCAGTTAAATCAAATTAATGTAAGTAACACAGTCGTAAAATCAAGGTGTGTTTGTGAAACACTGTCCCTGTATGACAGCTTATGGTGAAGGTTAAAGTTTCTAAAATGCAAGTCAAACTGAATTTAAGGTTAAAAAATTTTACTGGTATAAGTGGTATCAAGGTCTTTTAGGAATACACCTGTGAAATATGAAATGCCCAGTACTATTTGTTAATAAGTTATGGCTTGCATATAGAAAAGTGACCGACACGGGGACGCGTACCCTTGTGAAGTATGAAAGCTAATCGTATTGCCAAAGTTCCGATTTATTAAATTGACCAATCAAATTGCGTCTTGTTAATTGATCTATTATCTTAATGTGCTAAATTTTGTTGTCCAGATGTGGCCGTGCCATGTTCCTTTGATGAAAGGTAAATGCTGACATAATAATTGAGTAAAAGATTAACTTAACAGCTTAACAGAAAGTCCTCTACAAGGCCTAAACAAAAGACTATTGGTTTTGAGCAATAAAATGTAAACATGGACACTTACTTTTTCACCTGAGCAATTAACTAAAAGATTTGATGTAAATACAATTACTTACAATGAACAATAGGTGACATGAACATAAAAGAAAACCAATGTTAGAAGATGAAAAGGTGCTAAATATTTCCATTTGACAATTGTGAAATTCCAAAATACAACTAAAACAAGAGTTTAGTTAATGTAAATATTTTCTACCAAAAACAGAAACTTTTATTTATTAAAATCAACTTTAAAAAAAATAATTTATAAAGGTTAAAAAAAATTACTATCTTAATTTTTTTTATATTTAATTAAAAATGATTCTTAATGTAATTTGAAAACAAGTTTTCCTCATGACAAATGTCTTTCACTAATTAACAATTTTGAATTGCCAATGAGTACATGACTAATTACCCCCTTTGCCACGATAGGTTTGGTCCCCAAACCAAAAATTAAAAATGGGATAAATAAATTATAAATGAGTCAAAAAAAAAACTAGGCATGATATGAAATTGACAATTGAATGTTGTAAAATTATACATGTTGGTGTATATAGGCATACAAAAAAAACTACAAATTAGAAAAGAAAAATATTATAATATGTAAAAACAAGAAATGGTCACATTAAAACATATATACAAAATTATATACAAGTCCTGCTTATCATTTAAGTCATTTGTCCCAGTAACTTAAAGTGAAGTAACTAAAGAAACCTGAAAGAAAAGTTATGATTAAGGCACATCAAGTAAGTCGCCGGAGATATCAGAATTAATAACAGAAAATCCTTGATGAGTAACCAAAATGTATGCACAAAATGTTTGTTTTAGAATTTTGGACAATTTTCTGTGAGGGAAATAATTCATATCAATTGCATTGGGAACTTTAATTGATTGTTTTGTTGATTTATCAATAATTTCAAATGGGGACCAATCTGCCAAAAGTTGCCGAGAGGGAAAAGTTGAAGCAGTTAGTTTTCTGATTGTTGGAGGCTGGAATTTGTAATAAGATGGGCACAGTGGCAAAGTAACTAAAGGAATAATTATGCAATTTCCACCAGAAGTTAATTCTAATTGTACTTTTGTTTGTTTTGAAGGCTTTGATTTCCACAAGCAGTAAATTACAATAAGTAAGACACATATAATAATAAAACAAATAACCAAAATTGCATGAATCCAAGATAATTCAGACATGAAAATTTGCTCAATAGATATTGGTGCATCAACAGTAGCTGTGGAAGGCATTTTATAAATAAAAGAGGGGAGTGTTTGTGATTTAACCTGAATAATACTTTGAAACAAAGAAAAAGCAACTGCTAATTTTCTAAGTTTACAAATCACAAGAACAAATGATAATAAAGCAGTAAAACAATAGCTGATTAGGCATTGAACACTGTCTTCAGAGGCGTTTAGTTTCATGAGGGCTTTTGGTGCAACTTCAAGGGATAAAATGATGACTAGTGGAGGCAAGAGCATGGAGATTAACCAGAAATGCCCTACAAAAACCAAGAAAGAAAAAAAAGATGTAGATATGATGACTGTCATTGACTGTGAAGTTGATCAGACTAAACAATCTAGCACTATTCACTATAGATTAATCTATAAAAAGGGTGACAACACCATATCAAATTCCAAAAAAAAAAATAGAATTTAGGGAAAAAAAGGGTCAAAAATAATTTTTTTTATTTTTTTTTTAAAATTATGGGCAGTGCACTTTATTTCTGATAACCTACAAAACTCATTAAGATCCTCATAGGGAAACCCTATTAGTCAACTTTAATCCCAACAAAGATGGCACAAACCTAAAACTCTAGCTACTACAGTGACAATTACCATTTGATTATAGGCATTGCCTGTGATGTCTATAATCTAAAATTAAATACAGATAGTGCAATTTTGTTTGCATTTTTTTTAAGATGCAGTTAATGCAAATTTCTTAAATGGTAGTGGCATGCATGCTTTTGTTTTACAATGTAAAACTCGTTAACTGACTTCAAGTCTTTAACCATTAATTTTAAAGTTAAGTTTGACATTGCATTTATTTTGTTTTTGTTTCAAACACAAAAAGGATATAAGTGGGTGCATATACAATATCATTATATGCTAATTTATTGATTGACTTTCTACATACAATCAGGATTTTGAGTAGACTCATTGGTGTCTGCTGGTTTTTTCATGTAAGTTTTTCTCTTTTTCCCATTCTTTGTGAATTTTCTATTGATGTCTGCTAGTACTTCAGGATCAAAGCTTTCATCTGGTTCCCAAGTTCTGTCTCCATTTTCCCATACAACACGGATAAGTCTTTTTCCATTTTTGAATTTTGCTGAAGGCATACTCTTGATATTCCATGTTTTGTTTTGAGGATTTTGGGAACTGGAAACATCATTGTCCTCAGGTGCCTGGGATGGTGTTGGATGTTGTGGTTCATTTTGAATGTTGTTTGTAGCATCAGGTTCAGCTTGATTTTGGTTGTTTGGTATTTCTTGATTTTCATTACCTTCTGTGGGTTGAGTATTGTCATGTAGCTGGTCATCTGCTTGAATGTTTTCAGGAAGAAGGTGTGCTCTAAGTTCATCTGGGTCATGGTAATGTTTCAGGTGAATGGCATTGACTAGCGATGGATGTGGTTTGTTGTCAGATATCCTACACAACTCATATGTAAAGTTCGGACCTAGACGAGTAATTCTGTACGGACCTCTTGCTTTGTCAAACAGTTTGGCTGAAAGTCCTTTGGGTATTTGATGTATTGACATAAGAACACGGTCACCTAGTCTGAAATCTGGAACTTTGGCTGTTCTGTCATACCCTTCTTTGTTCTTTTGTTGATGGTACAGTTGATTTTCTTTTGCTATTTTATGGTAAATTTTAAGGTTGGACATAAACTGTTGCATGAATTGTTTTCCATGTAAACCCATGTTATCTTTTGGCTGAAGTTCCACATCAAATGGAAGTCTCATTTCCTGACCAAACATCATGAAGAAGGGGGAGTATTCTGTAGAACTTGCTGAGACTGACTTTCTAAATGACATCATGATTCCTGATAAAAAGGTTGGCCATAGTTGTTGATCTTTGTCACAGTATGCTCGCAGTGACTGTGCAATGACACTGTTTTGTCTTTCTACCAAACCGTTTGTATTTGGATGATAAGCACTAGTGTGGTATTGCGAGATGTCAAATATTTCACATAGAGCATTGATGACTTTAGACATGAAGTTTCTACCACGATCAGAGAAAAGAACAGAGGGGGCACCATAGCGAGCTATTATGTTATCAAAGAGGACTGTAGCTACTTCCTTTGCATTTTGCCTACGGAGTGGGAAAGCTTCAGGCCATCTAGTTCCAGCATCAATACAAAGTAAAATGTACTCATATCCCTCTGGACTCTTGTGGAGTGGACCTAAAATGTCAATTTGCCAGCATTCAAATCTCTCTTTGGATGGCATAGGATTCATGGGTGGTTTTGTTGTCCCCCGCTTGAAAAGTGGGGGATATTAATTTGGGTTTGTCCGTCCGTCCGTCCGTCCGTCTTTGATTTTGAGGTCAAAAGGTCAAAGGTCAAGGTCATAAATAAGCAAATTCTGTCTGTTAAAACACTTTCGTTTCCACACGATATCTCTAGAACCATTTGAGCTATTGCAATGAAATTTTATATAACAACTCCCTGTGGCCTAATAAAGACCCCTATTGATTTTGAGGTCCAAAGGTCAAAGTTCAAGGTCGTAAATGTGTAAAATTTTGAGAATATCGAATATCAAAACATGAATATAAACATGTATGTGACTTCACTTCTACATATACTTCCGTCATTCTCAAGCGAATTCGTGGTCTAGTGGTTATGTCTCTTGCTTCAAGTGTGAGAGGCCCCGGGATCGAATCATTACAGTGTGATAAAAATTCCAGATCTTCTATATACACATTCTCAAGCGAATTCGTGGTCTAGTGGTTAATGAAAAATTTATTGATAGTATTCAGCATGTGAAATGAAAAATTTATTAGGTTATAAAATCAATGAAGAATAAGCAATCAAATCTTTATATGCATATTGACATACATGTATTTTATTTGCTTCAGTATACATGTATACATTTAACATTGGTGGATCCAGAGGGGGGGTTCCGGGGGTTGGAACCCCCCCCTTTATTTTTTGCCAAGTGGAGAAAGAGAGAGAAAGAAG